CGCGACTGAATTTCTGATAGATTCTTTACTTTATGTATGACTGTGGAAACCACGTTTTTTAAATTAGGACGACAACAATTAGTAACGCGTAACGGGCATGCAGTGCCCACGCTGGTACGGCCTAATATCTTCATATCTAATCTGTAATATATGCCACTATTGTAAAAAAATATTCATATTACAGTAATTTTTGTTGGTCATTTTAATTAATGCACTTTTTTTAAACCTGAATCCGTAAGCTTAATGTTTACTATGAAAGCTCGGAAAATTTACGTTTTTCGTAAAAATCTGTCACCTATCGTTTGCTCCCGACTGTTTCCTGTGTAAAATGTACGAGAGCGTCTCCTTCAATGGGGAACAGGAAAAGTTCGAGATAGCTTTGAACTCTCTGCCTAAGCGAGACATCAGTAATTTTGTTTATAACTATCAGGATCAACTGAATCAAAAAGCCAAAGGAAAGATGAAACAGCGTCTTCAAAGCGGATGGTTTTACGCCGATGGCCACTGGACACCGCCTACAATCCGACTGGCACCCAATCTCCTGCGTGTCACACTGGAGCAACAATCTAACCACTTGGCTGCGGCGCTCCCGCAGGAACTCCTGCGAGAAACTCTGTCGTATTTGGGCCTAAATGAGCGGCAGCTGTACCGCCGTGTCAGTCCGCTGTGGAATACGTTGATTATCCAAGATCAAACTAGAGAGCGTCTGGCGCTCAGCTTCGACAACGCCGCTACGAACGCGGGCTCTGTGGGCATGGGCATCATCTGGCACTTAACCGCCGCCACGGAGATTGTCGTCCTGATCAACGCTAAACAAAGCGTGACGTCGCAGTTACTTTGCGATGCCCTGCGCCTGATCAGCGCCGTATATGAGCAGCGCGGTAACCGTCAACGAAAGCTGCAGGTATATGTGCCGCTAACGCTGTGCGTCAATATATAAAATGTGTCCAGCGTTAATATCTAACGCTGTGCGTAGTACAACATTCAGTCGCACGACTTCCGCCCTTTTCGTTGCCCAGGTAGTGGCTAAACATTGTCTCTGGGATTTGGGGGATGACCGCCTTCCCGAGGAGGTACGGTTGCTGGCTACTACGTGTGTCAACGCATCAGCCTCCGTGGAACGCATCATCTGGCGTAACTGCAGTTTCTGCAGTATCGGCGGCGAACAGAACGAGTTAATAGTGACTAGTGATGTCACCGTCGTCCGTGGCACGCCGATAGAGATGCAGACGGATCTGTACGAACTGCTGGAGCGGCAGTTGCTGCCGATTCCGCTGGATGTCGGCGGAGTGCAGCGTTGGATTGCGAAAGAAGCAGGGACTGACGGAAAACCAGACAACTGCGCCATTATTAAGAGGGTAGAATAGTTATTAAATAAATTTGGAATAAACACAAATATGCCGAATATTTGGTGAGGATTCCGTTAATAGTTTTTACAGCTTTTGATGACCTACCAGAGCCAGGATCCCCGTGTGACGAACCTCCACCATAGAAGGTCCTTCCGGACAAAGGGTGACCTGTGCCGATTAGATGTACGGACGTTGTCTCCGCTAACATTGTGGGTGTTGAATCTAACCATGCTGTCGGGTCCACAGTGGATTCGCAACCATGCCGGATGGCCTGCCCGCACCATCCCAGCCGGCAGCAACCGCCAAATCGTTGAACACGATTTGAATGGACTATCTGTATGGTAGAATAGCACGCTCAACAACATATCAAATCTCTATCAAACCCACATTTGGCAATGGTTTGATTTTTATATTAACTGTTTTGAATAAATGTGGGGAGGGTAAAAATGTCAAGTACTGAGGATTTACTAATTTCCAAATTAAAATTGCTAACTCGGTTAATGATTTGATTAATTTCTGAATCTGACATACGATGCAGGTTACCACCGGCTGCTGTGGTTGTAAATGTTACAACGGTCAGCCGTTCATATTATCCTTTTCTGCAGTCCATTTCACTGCGAACGACATGCTACAAAATTTAAAAGGCAAAATTGATCGATACATTTACGGAGCTCTTTGGTACGGTTATATATATTATGCCAAGAGAGTTTACTTATATATTTTTCATTTCTGTCATTTTAAACCTAGGAACAAGGGGAGAAGATGAAAGGGATTGCGCGAAAGCAAAGGGACTTACTCACTTTTGGTGCTAGGTACCGGAAAATCCCCTTGAGCGGTGAGTTGCCACACAGAAAGCTCTCTGTATTAAAATATTTTCTGCTGCACCTGTGCCAAGGGTGTGAAGCAACATGGTGCCCAGTCCCACTTAAGAGTTCGCACACGCTACCCTGAAATAAACTGTCAATTCCGTTCTGTATATGTCACAAAATTATCGACATTCGACATGTAAGCTCTACATAGCCAATATTCCACAGATGTCAGGAAACCTGAGCCTCAAACGGATTAACGAAACGATGTCCGTTACTTACGTACGCACTTTTGACACACAAACAGGATTTTCAAAGCGCCTGACATCCGGCAACCGTAAAAGACATCTGCGCTAGAATTAGTTGATATCAGTCTATATTCAACCACCCTGGCGCTCTGATTTCCTGACCAATGAAGCCATTATGAAGGTAGTCCAAAGGATGAAAACAAAGCGTAGCGGGAACAGTGCCATTTTTTCATGCTACTCAGGAAGGTAGCTCATTTAATTTAAAGAACGCGCCGCGATTCGTTCGTGCCGTGATTATTATATGAGTCGCTTGGTCCAGAAGTACAACCATTAATAATTTTAACATCTCCCTTTGACGAAGAGTTTGTTTTGCCATCTCTTGACCGGTTTGCAGCAGTTATGTGTGCTCTAGCAATCAACAGCACATCAGCTAATTACTCTAGCAATACCTGCAGTGATAATCCGATGTCCTGGTCGTCAAATTCAATGATATCACTGACAATGTCCGCTTTGATCTTTGCACTGAATGGAACTGTGCTGGCATTTTATCTCACCCACTGGCGCTTGCTTAGGGATTTCCATGTATACGTCTTCGCGCTTTTAGTCGCGAATTTCTTGTATCCAGTATGTTATGGCCCGCTGGATGTGATCAACAACATTTTCGCTGTCTGGTGTTGGGGTTCGCGCTGGTGCACTTTCTTCAATTATGTCGGCAATGCCATTCCCCTCGTGGAAATACTCCTCCACACAGCCATCGCCATCAGCCGCTTCTGCGCCGTGATATTCCCCATTCGATACCGCCAAATCCACAGTACGCGGATCGCTAGTGTGGTGTGCGGCATATGTTGGACTGCTTCTCATGTCATTGTCGTCCCGGTTGTTGTTGTGGATGCACTACTTTACCGGCAACCGGAGGCTGCAGCAGGATGCGTAATCAACTTTACACTGGCGCCGGCTCAGCAAGCTTGGCTATACTTTGCTCAGGCTATCAGTCTTGCTGCGCTGGTCGTTGTGCTGGGACAGTATCCAGTTGTTTTTCACATACGACGGCAGCGTATGCGGAAACTGGGAGAACTGCGGCATGATGGCTCTCGCCCGACTGGTAAGTGGTTTCTTAGATTATTCATAATATTAGTCATTATCAACATTACTTCGGGATTTCGCAAAGATCGATCCCATTTATCAACCATTTCAAGCAACCTACTATTTTGATGCATCAAACTGTGCTGTACTCCATTCGCTTTTCCTGTTTTGGTGTAAAATAAAAAAAGGTAAGTACTTCCTGTTTCAACGTTTTTGCAGTTTGGAACTGGAATCAGCGGTTCATCACAGTTCATCATGTTATGCCAAATGAAATCCCAGTTGTTAAAAAATGAAACCAGACGTTTCATTTGAAAGAGCAAACAAATTGAATAAAAACAATAAATTTACTACAAAAACAAAATTAAGAAGACCGGTTGACCGTTGTTAAGAAGCGACGTAGAAATTCGACATTTCGAAACATTAATTCGACTTGCAGAATAACAGCGGGTCTGATTTTTCGCTTGGTAGGTTCATGTTACTGTTGCTGTTGGCTTTGTAGGCGTCCCCTCACAATCCATGGATACGTCAGCGGCTTATCCAAACAAGCAGCAGAGAAAATCGGAAAGTAGCGCCTTTTTGCTACTAACGATACTGACGGTTAGCGTTGCGGTTTGCTGGACGCCCTCCGCCATAGTGTTTCCCATCTATACCACTTCGCAAGATCAACTTCTCATGTTCTGGGTTTATGCTGTATTTGAATTCCAGTCGGTGATTGATCCGGTGATTTTCGCCTTATCACTGCCGGATGTCCGTCGGATAATGTTTCAGCGACATCGCTGAAAGGGATGGACAAAGTCTAAACCACGTATCCACCCGTTATCTCCTGGATAATAACAGCAGCATGCATTCAGTGGAAAAAAAGCCTATCAGCCAAAGCGCCGGCACTGCTTTTTTAAAAGTTATCTAGTTGTTCCGGTTATTCACGTTTTGCTGCTGACGTTTTCAATTTGCCGTTTTGTGTAAAATCCAAAAGGATGAATAATGATATTGTTAAGTTCCCGCAACGTTCGGATTCCCTTTTTACAAGCGTGGCGTTTACACCCGTAGGTATTCTCAAGTGTTCTGATTATTACTTAGATGTCTTATCATGATTTTTTAATCGTGTAAAAAACGTTATGTATATCACAAAGTTGCCATAGCGCTGGCAGAAAAAGGAAATTAGTAGTTGGTACGAACACAAAGGAATTAAGTACGCACTGTAACCCACTGGCACTTTTATTATACGCTGACGGCCGAATAATATAGAATAATTAACGAGCATAATTGAAACGAGTAGTTCCCACGCTGGCAACGCGTGGGAATTGCTTGTCAGTATGACTGTCCGGACATGAACAGCTGTTGCAAACAATACCGTGGAGAATTACTGCATCGAACTGATCACACGTTCGACTGGCCCCATTCCCAGGCAACAATGCGAGAAAGTGGAGGACCGTACAGTGCTTGCGCCAATTGCTGGCTTAAAAAGCCTCGCCCGTTAAATTTTATTACACAACTATTTATATTATTTTGCGAAGTTACCTTTTGCCTAGCAATCTTCGCCCTACTGGCTTGACATAAAACTTTTCTTGTAAAACTATTCTTGTAAAGAATGATCTTAACCGTTTTTGTTTCGGGTTTTCATTTATACGATGATCCGATCCGATTACTCTGAATGCTGAGGCAGTAATTGAAATGCGAAAGGAGAGCTATTCAGGAGTGCTATTGCACTGATCATTGAATATAACCAATTACTAGTGCAATTGTACTTCGGAATACCACCTGCATAATATCCCATAAGGATTCCTACGCAGTATTCTACGCATCACACCATACCTGTGCTTATTCCATCAAAGCCTACAAACGAGAAATCGGTATGCGCTTTAAGCTTTAGTTAGTTAGTTATGCTCTTGCCTTCAGTTTGTAGTATTGCTCACCGTTAGTACTTCAGCGCAAACTGCGCTCTGACTGGTGTACTCAAACATTTTTTACGAACGGCTCTATAAGTTATAGATGCGATTTCTTTAAATTGGTTAATGATAAAACAGGTTTGAATGGGTGTTTACGCATCCAACTTCACAGAAGGACAGATAGTCTAAAACCATTGAGAACAAATTTCAGTACGTAGTCCGCAAAAGATATCTGCACATTAGATGTCAGAATCCGTTTCCGTTTGCACTAGCGATTTCCAACTCAGCGGGCCCTATACCGAAAAGTAACGATTTTGGTACTTTAAGTTAAAGGACTTTAAGTTAAAGAGAAGAAAATTATAGAGCCTTTCGTCCAATGGTAGTGCAGAGGCGGAGCCAAAAGTTAAAGGATCTGGCCCCTTTAAGTTATAGAGCCACTCGTAAAGGATGTTTGAGGATTGTATAACATTTCACAACCCGACATTTCATGACGTAACGTTTCATGGCGTAACAATTCACAACCTGGACTTTTCACAACCGTAACATTTCGCAACTCAGACTTTTCACAACCATAACAATTCACAACCCAGACTTTTCACAACCGTAACATTTCGTAACCAGGACATTTCACAACCGTGACATTTAGATCCGCTTTCCAAATCACGGATGTAAAGCCGAATATCTTTATGGAAAGTGCCTCGGCTTGAACACTGTAATTAGTTGGCATGGCTTGCGGTTGATGCCGCACATAATTTTTATTCACATTCAGTATAATATTATTGCTTCTTGTGGTACATTCGGTTATCTAGTTTTTTTGTCCTGTCCTGACCTCGCCCGTTCTGACGTTTGGATTGCAGATGGCACCTTCAAAACCTCACCAAAACATTTTCGACAAATTTATACTATTCACGGTTCCGTATGCGGCAAAATGTTTCCGTTGGTCTATGTGTTAATTGGCGGGAAGTGTATGGATTTATACCGGAAAGTGTTCCAGGCCTTGTACGATTCCTTAGCAAAACTGTGTGAAGACGGTCAAGACCCATCGGAACCGGCTTATATGCTCATCGATTTTGAACAAGCGGCATGGACAGCCTTTAGGAGAATCTTTCGCAAAACAACTGTTCAAGGTGAGCGTAAAAACAAAAATAAATTTGCAGTGAAAAACAGCGTACATTGTTTTGTTTAGATTAAGATTTTGAATGAAAATTTTGGCCTTACTTTACGCAGTGTAAGCACATTTCGGTATAAAATTATGAACGTTTTTACAGCCAACCAAAAATAACCGCATGGTATTTCATTTAGGTTGCCTTTTCCATTTTGGTCAAAACGTGTACAAGCGTATCTTGAAGTACGGATTCAGCGAACGATACATTTCGGATTTGCAGTTTAATACGCAATGCAAAATGTTGTTGGCATTGGCATTTGTTCCTGTGGACGACGTGGTCAAGGTTTACGAAACTTTCATCCAGCATCCGGAATGCGTTCTTGAAAAGGATAGGAAATTAATCATGTATTTCGAGAGAGTTTATATCGGTCAGACAGTGAAAACCAGAAAAGGACAGGGGCGGAGGCCACCGTGTTTTTCGATCGCATTTTGGAACTGTCATAACCGTCTGCTTGGTGGAGTACAAAGGACCACCAACAACGCCAAAGGATGGCACAACGGTTATGCAACATCAAGCGGATCTGTCATACCGGATATCTACACATTTTTCGGCAAATTGCAATTGGAGCAGAATTTACAAGAAGGTCGTATTGGCAAGCTGAAAAAAGGTGAAAAACCGGAGCCACAGAGACGAGAGTTCAAAGAGCTGACTGAGCGGTTGATGGCGGTTGCTGTTATGTACAACGATATGGATCCATTGGAGTATTTGGAAAACATCAGCAGGAACGTGGAGATGTCTTGGAAAGATGGTGAGGACGAATCGGATTCGGATGGTTCGGAAGATTGGCGTTGTGGGAAAGCATGCTGTATAGGGCCTGTGGATTTTGCACTGTAATGATGGGTTTAACTAACAAACTGCCGGCTTATAAATATATCACTACTATATATTATTTATTCTTGTTGAAAAATTTAAATAATTCAAATTTTTTTGTAAATGCAAATTATTTGAGTAATTTGCGGTGTTACCGTAACCGCCAAGTCGTAGCTACAAGTCATCGATCAATGATGATAAAATCTATTTCACTGTTGACTTTCACTAATTCGAAATGAGAAATAGATGGCTAAAATTATTTGTGGAACGCTGTGGTCATGAAATGTTACGGTTGTGAAATGTTGCGGACATGAAATGTTACGGTTGTGAAAAGTTGCGGTCATGAAATGTTACAGTTGTGAAACGTTGCGGTCATGAAACGTTACGGTCATGAAATATACGTTGTGAAACGTTACGTTGTGAAATGTCGAGTTATGAAATGTCGTGTAACGTGTTTGAGTACCCTTACTGCAATTCGGATGGCCGCGTGTCGCCTGAGCTCAGTATCTGTCCATTCTCGCACCCAGTGTTAAGGTGAATTTCCACTCAAATTAGACCATATTAAACTATACAGGAATCGATAGAGAATTCATTTTTCTATCTACTGATGTGAATTACGTCTTTGTGAAAAAATTGTACACAAGCAGTTATTTTAAAAACCGTCATAGGGTAGAAATCTTTAACAAGGTTTTAATACTGCGCAGTAGAGGAGAATATCTCTGTTCGGGATAGCGGCAAGTTTGCTGACCACAAGCCACAAGAAGCTAACAAGCGGCAGCCGTGTTTATATAAGAATCAGAATACGCGCACTCTGTCATAAATGATCAGGTAGAACAATGAGATTTATTGCCCTGTTAGCATGTGCATCACCATTCCATGCTTGCGCTTGACTCACAAGTCATTGCCAGAAAGCCATTCCTGCTCAGCGGAACAATACGTGACCTGATGAGACCAGGACACAACAGGATACGCAGCAGTCGCACCAAGAATAAGTCTGCTCTCCGGCCTATCTGGCCCAACACAAAAAGTTGAATTCCTCAAAGTTACAAATACGGATCAAATAACTCAGCGTTTTCTCCGATTTTAAGTTTGACAACTCCATCTTATGGAGTATATTCCTGTACACATTCTGAACCAAAATAAAGGTTATCCGAAGTAGATTCACCGAGTTATACGAGTTTAAAGTATTTGAAAATTCGCTGCACCTTTGTTTTTTAAGATTACATCACGATATTGGTTCAGAATGTCCTTCATATGTGGTTTTATCATATGGGAAAGTTTCATAAAGTTCGGGTGGATAGCTGAGTTATTTGACGCGTTTGATTTTTTAAACGTTTTCCGGTGATAGCACAACACCCGGTTATTGCGCGCACATTTTGAGTTTAAATCAGTGTAGTTCAATGTTCTGAGCATTGAAAGCAGTAACGTACACTATGGAACTGTTTACGAGCCCTTCATGGCTTTTTTTCTAGCAAAAGGGGTGCAAACGAGTAGTAACTCCGCTTAAAGGAAACGTGAGTTAAGGAGATTTTTTTTCGCATAAAACCCATTACACGCGATTACGCCGGGTTCGTGCAAAAGGAAAAATATATTATCATTATCAAAACAGAAAACGATGACTAACGAGTGTGTGATCTGCTGTACGGATGTCGTCGCCAACGCTGCAGCATGTTTTACGTAACGTATGCGATGCCCGGCAGGGGTGAGGCGGCGGCCGGAGCTGAAAGTGGTCCAATCTCCTCGCACGGCTTTAGTAACAGGAATAGCCGAAAGGCGATTGCAAAAGTTATAGCAACAGCCAACAAATATAATTATACCGTGCTGCATCTATGCCCAGGTGAAGAAACTGTCATACAGCCACATAACGTTTCTGTGCGTTTCCACGCGCTGCCGAGCAAGCTTCCTCTCATAAAGCAATGAAATTATTCTAAACTACAATCAACTGGATTCTGCTCTACAGTTCATCGGGGCGCCAAACGCCACGCTGCACACTAGGTTGCTGATCCAACTGCCGCCGCGACAGCATGGTCATGTTGACTACCCACAACGTTAGTGAGGACACCGTCGTCAGATCTAAACCGCGCAGCTCCTCCACCGTCCAGAGATACTTTCCACGGTAGCGGTTCGTCGGACGGGGATCGCTGCACTGATACGTTAACAAAATCTAGTCATGAGAGAATCATGAGAGAACACGAAACGTAACTCTGGCTTAACACGAAACGTAACTCTGGTATTGCCAAATTAATATCACAAACTTACCGCGTTGATGGTGGCGAAGCTGTCTGACGTTTCGTTTCTCCACGCTGCGCCCGCAATCCATTGCACTAACCCGAAAGCATCCAGTGGAAACCACTGCTCCAGCCACCACAAGTTCCGTTCCAGTAGTTCGTACAAATTCGTCTGCATCTCCATCATCGTATTCCGCACGGCGGTGAAATCACTGGCCACAGTCAGCTCGTAATATTCGCCGCCAATACCGCCGAAGCGGCAGTTACGCCAGCCGATCCAGTTCATAGCGGATGCTGCGTCAGATAACGTTCTAGCCAATAGCTGCATCTCCGTCGGGAAGCGATCACCCAGGTCCCATCGACAGCGGTTGATTAGCACCTGGAAAAGAGTCTGTAGGATGCTGGGCACTTATCCATGTACATGTGCGTCAAAAACAGCCTTTAATTTGTTTAAATTCCGCAAAAAATGCTGGTATGCTGGTTCTCGGCCAAAGTGACCTTTAAATTTACGTATAAAAAAAATATAAAAAAATAAAAAAAATAAAAAAATAAAAAAATATGGAAAAGCTCATTTCGGGACATTAGTTTGACCGGTTATCAGATAAGAAATATAAAACGCTTCATAGTGCGGGAGAAAGATGGATTTAGTAAAGGCAAACATGCCCACAAAGTAACTGGTGCTATGTAACGGGGCGACTTTCTTTAATTCAACGAAGAAACTAACGCACAACCCTACCTTCCGGCGCAATTACCTGTAACTTTTTCCGACGATTACCACGCTGTTCGTAAACGAAGCTGAGTAAGCGCAAGCAGTCGCTGAGTTCCGGCAGCGAAGAGGACTGTCTAGCGTCGCTAATGACGATTTCCTCCGTTAAGGTGGTAACATACTGGATGATGCACATACCAACGGAGCGGTTAGCCGTGCCGGCGTTGCCGAAGGTGAGCGTCAGGCGTCGACGGACGGCATCCTGCTTAATGACTGCGTCCCACAAGGGACTGACGCGGCAGTAAAAAGCCCGCTCATTCGTAGCGCAGCAGGAGAGAATTTCCCGCCAGAGTTCCGGTGGGAGTGCAGCGGCCAGCTGACTGGATATCTGTGCCGGTGCAGCACGCAAAGAAGCGCTAATACTGAAATTAGTTTTAGGTCGTGTCCACTGGCCATCGGTATAGGTCCAGCCAGTCTGCAGACGCCACGCCATTTCCGCTTTGGCCATGCCGTTCAGTTGGTTCTGTATTTTTGCAAACAAATAATTACTTGAATATATGTATACAGTATATCGATATTGAAATCAATTTAGCGCTCCTGAGAACTGTAGTGCAACAGCAGAAAATAACGGTATTACAGCAGCTCATTTGCCGGAAAGTTTGCCTATGCAGAGTTTATCGAACACTATTTTTAGGCTCTGAGATGGGTATAGTAGGTCTTATTTGATAAAATCAACTAAAAAATTCCAATTTATCTAAACTAACTAGAAACAGCTGTTCGTAGTGGGATAAAATGCCTGCACATAAATCCTACTATCACAGTATGGCCGTACCAGGGCATCCTCTGATACTGGTGCCAAATTCGCAGACCTACAGCGATCCTGGAGATACAGCAGGTTCCCGTTCGTTACGCAGACGGGATACGCGGTGCAGTCAGGCGCCGACATCAGCCCTTCCACCCACAGACTCCACAACGCCGGCTCCAACGGCCACCCAGCCCGGTACTCCCACGGGAGAGCGCACGCCTGTGTAACGTAATCTCCCTCCAAGACAGCGCGCGCTCCACCAAACGGCTCCGCCAGACGGACGACCAAGATGCTAACGAGTTTGAGTATGATGCCATTATCCAGATGAATTGCAACACAGGCATACTGGTCCCAGAGGACTCGATGCAACAGGTGCACCGCCGGGTTCCACGTCCACGGGCGATCAGCAGCGGTCCGCGATAAGACCTGAATGCCTATCGGCGCCCTGCTGTGCTCTGCCTTCCAGTCTGCGGAGAAAGGAATGCAAGACTCCTGAGAACGCAGATAGTGCTGCGCCTTTTTATATTCGACAAACTGCGAGCGTCGGCCGGGGACGCCGAAATCCACGAGCAGACCGCGGGGGACCGTGTTGATAACCTGGCCACGCTCCAGAAGTCCGTGGGCATTTTCCACATCCACCGCGTTCCATCGGTAGACATCGGTACAGGGAAAGATTTCACAAAAAGGCGATGAGTCAGAACAATCTGGCGACCGAATACCGTCGCTGCACATCGTCGTATTAAAAGCGAACCATGCTTCACAATGTGATACTAAAGAAGGCGGTTCAAGATTATAAATAAAAAAAAAACAATTCGGACTTGGCTCCAACAAAAAACAGTGTGCATTAAACATTAAAAAAGCGTCAACCTTTTAAATTATACATTTTACTTTATCAAATGCATTGCAATCATCCCGCGGAAAAATGCAGTACAATACCGATAATGTACGAGTTGTACAATTACTGTGCGAGGTACTAAAAATGCAGTCGCACTTTTGCGATTGCTTTATTCGGCTTGCCCTTTCGATCAACCTAACAATATCCAGAGCCAATCGTTTCAGTCTAGCTGAACTTTCTGCCTGTTTTCTGTTCAGTTGGGCTACGGTCTGACTTATGGTATTACCATAGAAAAGGAAAATACTGTACTTTCCTTTTATATGGTACAACAGTATACTGTCCAATGATATTATTACGTGTTCAAACTGCCTGGTAATCCTAATTGTAACGCATACTCGCATATACCCAGGATATTCACTACAGGCTGGCCAGAGGGCAACGCGAAAAGAAGCAGATAACGGTGAATGATTTCCTTCAGCCAGTACCCACAGGCAATAAAGCCGATCAATTCTTGAAAGTTGATGTATTATGAAAGCAGCGCACTGCTGGAAGTAAAGAAACGCACTGCGGGAATCCATTGAATGTCGGCGATGAAAAGGGACAGGAGACTGCGAGCAGCCGATGCCACTACGTAGAGCGTATTGCATGGGGAGAGAAGCACAGCAGGATGCCATGTAGGTTTGCATCTGCACCTATGGGCACGCGACGGGAACACCCGATGTCTTGCCCGCCTCGGTAATCCCACAGTATATCAAGCTCTTTCATCATGGGTTCCGTAATAAGAATAACGTAGTATGCGAAGCGGTAACAATATCTATTACGACTTTTATTATTCTGATTTTGGCGTGAACTGTCGCGGTAATAAACAAGCACACCAACTTGTAGAATTGTATTCATTTGACAAAAGGGGAAGCGAAGCTGTGTCCCGGATATAAAAACTAAATAGCATAGGTATTGCCGACGATTGGTGCACAGAAACTCAACAGGTGCCAAAGATGTCCATACTACCTTATTACCTTAAATATGCAATAATGCATGTAATAAAAGACTGGGAGAATAAATATCTTCATAGACGAACGCATGTGCAGTAGCCGAGCACAACCATTACCACTAGATGCTTCAAGATCGCTTTTGTATGAAATAAAGAAATTATTTAAAATTAGAATAAATGTTTATCGAAACAATTTCAAGCGAAGTAAATGAAAGGTTTAACAAAGGACAATAAACTCGCAAGTTAAACTAGTCAATAAACTAGTTAGGAACTCGTTTGTTCTAATTACTAATATCTCAAAATTTAGGTGTTTTGAAAAAGTATATGTAAAATTATTTTCTTTAAGTTTCGAATCTCTTTGAATCCAATTTCCATCTACATACGATAAAGGACTACGATAAATTTTGTTTCTCGAAGACACTCTAATTGTAGTGTTATACAGTTGTGCAGTATTTGCAGTCCACTGAATTTATTTGTGGTTACTGAAGGATGGAAAATATTTAAACGCATTTCATTTCGTTAGATCTTGCCCCAGCCCCCAAGTTAAGAATAATATCGCTCTTGTTAATTACGTACGACTACGGTATGAGTGCACAAACAATCCGGCTGGTTTGGCCGGTCCCTGTCCGGATCAGACAGGGAAAATAGCACAGGCATGCCGATTTATAGTCTCCAGGAAATTATCACCGCAGTACCGCACTGGATGTTGCGCCTATTGAAGGCTGAATGGGTGGAATTGATTACTGCGGATTTCCTTCTTCTCCCGTCCTCTCACTGCCGACTAATAAGCTGCAGTTGTGCCCTCCGGGGATTAATAATCGCTCAGTGGGCAACCAACTGCGCTGTTTTTGTTCTGTGTGTAACCGTACTCGATCGTATCGAATATACTGTAGCCAGCCCGAGCCAGAGCGACGTCGCCGCAGGCGTATAATCTGAAAACTATATCATTCTAATATACGATCCTACAGAAAATCTCAGCGTTGAAGAGAAACGGATGCCGCACAGTATGTATATAATCAGCAGCCGGCGATTGCGAGCGTCAGGCATGGGCTTCTAGTTGACAGTGGCTTGACAGTACACAGTAAGCTGAATTCAGCAATCGCAAAGTACTGTTATTCCGTGCCAGTGGTTAGTAATGGTTGCAGCATAACTTCATAAGCAGTCAAATAAACCCTATTTTTGGCATTTAATTCGACGATGTTCACCAAGAGAATCCGATCTTTTAATTGTTCAGACGCGTTGCCATCCTGTGAGATTTATCCCGGTCCCGACATCTACCAGTGGAACGCGGTGGATGTGCAGAATGCTAACGGGCTGCTCGAGCGTGGTCTCGTCATCAATACCGCTAATCACGGCCTGATCGTGGATTTCGGCGTGCCCGGGCGACGCTCGGAGCGTGTTCCGTTCAAAAGGGCGCTGTACTGTCGCACCTCGCCAGAACACGATTTCGCTCCCATTCAAGACTGGGACGCAGAGCACAGCGCGGCGCTGGGCTTTCATGTCCTCGCTCGGATGGCTGCCGACCGCCCGTGGACGTGGTACCCTGCGGTGTGCCTCGTACGTCGGTTCCTGTGGAACAAACACGCCTATGTCCGCATCCAACTGGGTGAGAGCGCCGTCACCATGTTCCTCAGCGCTCTCGTGGTGCGTGTCGCGCGCAGTGACTGGAGGGGGTCCGCAGTCGGTGCAGGTGATTTCGTCTCCCAGACCAGCGCCCTGCCGGGTGAATATCGAGCTGGACAGCTGGTGGAGCCGGCATTGTGGAGCTTGTGGGTGGAAACGATGGTATCGCAGCATGACGCGTATCCCGTCTGCGCCATGAATGGAAGGCTGGTGTATCTCCAGAAGGGGTGCAATAACGCGAAGCCGGCAAGAGCATCTGGTAATCCTTACCTATCGCCCGGATCCAATACTGCGAAACTGTCAGCAATATCACAGGACGAGTTGGTACGGACGTATAGCAATAGTTCTTGTTCGAAATGAAAAATATTATTTGACCGTTCTGTTTTCAAATGCTATAGAAAATCTTTACATATTTACATTTAGTCGTATGAGATGGAAGAAACCCAGCCTAAGAATCAATACGTATACTGTGCTAAAGCTTCGGACTCAGTTCGGAGCACTCGAATAACTTATAACTGCTTGGTTCACATAAACTTCCAAATTAAATTAAGTTCGAGTTAAAGTAAGTGACCTGGTAAATGGAAGCAAGTTCTGGATTGCACGAAACTGAAGGTTTTGTGAAGTTGTCTATACGAAACAGAAATTGGTACACGTAGTGCTGCAATTCCCTGACCATTAGCATGACACGGTAATAATCAAATAACGCATTAATTTTTACATAGAAACTTTAGGCCGTCTGTAATTACCAGTTTGTTTAGCTTTGGACCATGCGTAATTACGTAGGTATAGAAAAAAATATTATAAATATCCAGGATCGGATGAACGGAAGGGCCAAAGCGTGTTTGGCACGGCGCCTGCAGGCCGGTTGGAACTACACCGAAGGCCGCTGGAAAAGGGCGGCGCCCAAAATTCAATCCGATATTAATGCTGAACTGGCACACCAGTCTCCTGAAATGGGAGCATTATTATCACTGGAGCTACAGCGCGAGGTTCTCTCCTGCTTTGCTGCGAATGAGGGACCGTTCTTCCGTCGTGTTGGTCCCGTGTGGAACGCGATCTTCCAGCAGGATGACACCAACCAACACCTGATTCTTAACTGCGACAACGCCGGCACTGCAACCGGCTCAGTGGGCATGTGCATCATCCGGCAGTTAACCGCTGCCACCAGGATGATCATCCTTGCCAATGTCAAACAGCGCTGGATGTTTCAGGAATTTACTGACTGTATGCGTCTGATCAGCTACGTTTATAAGCAGCGCGGCAACCGTTTACGAAAGTTGCAGGTAGATATACGCCATCAACTGCTTTGCGTCAAAATATAGGGTAGATAGTTTAGGGGAATAGCCTGGTATTCTGTGCATTTTTTGAAATCACTACTGCAGTATTGTTCCCGTATTATCACGTTATACAGATACGTACAAACCCAGCTCGAAATTTTTAGACCGCTGTAAGCGCGACGCAGTGAACAGCGCACAGTAAGGCTAGATTTTATCTACTCTTCACTGGACGCACTGGCGTAGAGCACTTTGTATGGCTCAAGCCCACGTTTCTCAAATATCCCGCTTACAGCGGTCTAAAAATTTCGAGCCGGGCTTGTACATGTAGACATCAGTGGCATACTACGCGAAAATCGCACCGCGAAAATGCACTCGTACCAACTGCACAAATTTGGTAGATTGGAAACCACCTGGAGCCGGTGAATGGGACATTTAAGTAAACCAACAAAAATTTAAAAAATTACTTTAATATTTTAAATTTTAAAATTTCTAAAGTGCACTTTAAAAATTCAAAAAAAAGTGTTAGAAAAATGGTAGTTTGCATACCGCACCATTTTTTTCCATAATAAAGCAGTTGGTGCAAGACTGCGAGTCACATGTTATAACTTATTATCACTGGTGTACAGATAGGTAGACAGATAGTACAGACTTTAGTCTATTGGTGTCAGCGTACTGCAGCGTGGCGTGTGTAGAATTACATAAAAAAACATTAGTAGTAAATTCACTGAACATTCAGTCACGCGGCGGCGCGTTTTTTGGATAGGTAGTGGCCAGCGGCTGTCGTTGGGACTTCGGTAATCACCGTTTTCTCACGGAGGTGCACATGCTGGCCAGGACGTGTGTCACCGGTGCCGCCGCCGTGGAGTGCATCGTGTGGCACAACTGCCGCTTTCGTGGTATTGGCGACCAACAGTACGATTGTATCGTAGTGCGCGACGTCATCGCTGTCCACGACTCGCTTTTGGGGATGCAAACGGAATTATATGCACTGGTGGAACGGAATTTATTTTGGAAGCCAGAGTGGATTCCGCTTAATGTCTTCGGCCTGATGCAGTGGATTGCAAACGAAGCGCGAACTGATGCGATATCATTCACCAGCGCCAAAATCAAAGGGGTAGGGAACTGCCATTTAAATTCGGAATACGATCACCAAAGAAAACGTCTGTGTTTCGTGATCGAATCATTATTCCTACAGATCTTAGGGACCTACCAGTGCGCGGATCCTCGTCCGGCGAATCAGTACCGTAGGAAGCCGGACTGGACAGTCGAAGACCTGTGTCAGTTAGATATGACGACGTTGTCCACATTGACGCTGTGGGTACTGAACTTGGCCATGCTGTACCGAGCGAAGGGGAATCGGTGACCATTTCATCTGCACTCGTTGTGGGATACGCGGAACTACTACTTTGGTGCAAGAACAAAGCTACAAGCAGCAATATAAAGTCGAAATCCATAAATATGGGACTATGTCCTTTCCAATCAGTTATAGTGCTGTCCGTAGTGTTGTGCTAGTTGCCAGGGGCTTAGGGAGGTATGGGGCCAAGGGGCCGTGGCCCCCCCAAAAGGCCAGGCAGTGTGTTACTGGCCCCCCCCAAAAGAAATGCATTGGCCCCGGGCGGCTTCGCCGCCCGGGGCCAGTGCATTTTTTTGGGAAAACGTAAAACTAATATTAACGCTGACATTTAATTTAAACCTGACATTCTATGATAAAATTCTGATTCACTGTAAATAAATTAAAACACTGTGGCATCTTCTGTTAAAACTTAAAAGGTAGAAGTAGTCAACAATTGAACGTCGGACGCCCAAATCAGCGGCGAATTTCAAGGGGGTAGGTACGGAACACGTGCCCCCTCCAGAATTTTTTCAAAAGTGGGTTTTTCAGAAAACTAAACGGTAATGTTGATTGGTAACTAATTGGTAACTAATTGGTAACTAATTTGGTAACTAATTGGTAACTAATTTTGCATAAAATCGTTTAAATTCTTTTTTTTTCGTGGATTTCTAGAGATTTTGCAGTTAAATCGATTGCTAGCTTCGCGCTCCGCGCAAAAATAGCTCTTTATTGTACTTTCATACATTAATTTAGTCTCCGGCGCGAAACCAAAAAGTGTTTTACATTAAATTCGTAATATTCCGCTATTTTTTATAGAATTTCTAGGAATTTTCCCAGTAAAAACGTGCGTCACCTTCGCGCTTCGCGCGAAATTCACCTTTCTGAAGACCAAACATGATACAATATTACTTCATGCCCCTCTAACTTTCATTTCGCTTCAAAAAAATAAAGCTATTTCTACTATTTTTAATAAAATTTCTAGCAATTTGGGCAGCAAAATCGCTCGTTGGCTTCGCGCGAAAATTAATTTTGATATAATTTTTGACCCTGCATCTTGCTTTACACACAAAGGTCACCAATTTACGCACAAAGGTCACGCACAGGCGTGCTGATACTCTGGACGCTCCCTCGCGTGTAGCAGAGGTGCACCCCCAGGTCTGTACACTTGGGGTGCTCCCCAGTGGTACGCCCCTTGGGTGACCCCCAGGTGTGCACCCCTGGAGTACACCCTTGGGGGCACCCTTAATATGTAGGTTCGGCTCGCCTTGGCCCCCTCCAAAAACGAAAGCTCCCTACGCCGCTGCTAGCTGCTACTAAATGAAATTAAATAACGGCTATTTACGTGTTTGTTAGTAAAATCCGCCTATTCTTAAAAGTCTTGTGAATAGTATCGGTCCTTGTACTAGTAAAAGCTGAGTTTTTAGTAGCATAATCTACGTATTAATGTAGTAATATTAGAGCTGCCTCATTTGACTTCGTCGAATACGCATCGAGAAGCGAAGCTTCGCACTTGAAAAAATTTCGGCCGGTGATCTACACCGACGTCAATTGTGTTTGTGCCGAACGACCAGGTGCGCGGTAGTGAATATTATGTTGGACTTGCGCCTGAATCAGCAGTTGTCTTTTGCAAACAAATTTCTTAAAACTATGGGATTCTACTTTCTAGTCGAGCACAAATAAAAAAGTTAAATTCGGCAGCATGTTAGTTAAAAATACTGGCGCTAAAGCGTCTAGCCGTACAACAGAGATGTGTAAAGAAGATGTGCAGTCCATTGCTGCTAGTTGAACAGGAAGCATCGGAATGGTAAGTTGGTCAAAATGTTCAGTTCTAGCATTTAGTTTGTGGGTTTTTGAAAATATATTCCGAATGCCCGGAAATCAATTTTGCTTTTGTTCTTACCCATCCCTAGTTATTTCGGAGCAAAATAAAGATGCGCGTACGCGTTGAAGTTCATGCCGGTATTGGTTAATATGCTCGTAAGCACGACTGATTTATCTGGCAACTGGTTAGCATCATCGGCCCCATTGACGGACCATCCAACCTCCTGTTTTTTTGGCACGGGTAAGTAACCCGCTCGTACGGTATAGTGGCAGCTTGCAAATTACCGTGGCAGTACCATATCCGGTAACGACAGGCGGTAGGCCAGCCGTCATCGAAGGAAACAATGCCGTCCACGTTTCTTGAAATTCGTTCAGGAAATAGCCGTTAATGCCGGAACCCTCTCAATGCAATGAAAACGTAATAAATGGTCACCCGGAAGCGCCATGACAAATTTAAAAAATAAAAGACAACCTATTCACTAAGTAAAGCGAAAGCAAATGGTTATTTTAGGCTTGCTTTTCTCTCACGGTCGAAGGGAGCCTTTTAGTCTGGCCTTTGCTGATTGCTGCCCAGTGTCAGCTTTACGGCATAAGAAACATCCATGTTTGGGTCCATATCAATATCTTCCATATCTGCCAGTGGGAAGCTCATCCACGATTCGTCCTTCGGTTGGTACGTTTCCATCGTTAGTGCGAGATCATCTCTACCTTCCACCCGTCCCCCAAACACATATATCTGATCTTCGGACACGAATGCGCAGTGACCTGATCTTGCCTGCAACAGGTCACATACCTTTTTCCATTCCCGAAGGGTGCGATCGAATCGAACACACGATTTCAACATTTGAGCGTCAGCACCGGAGCCACTGCGACCGCCCAGTAAATAGAGCTCTCCTTTGAAGACAACTGCAGCGAAGTTACGCCGATCTTCTGGCAGCTCCGCCACGAATGCCCACTTCTCGGAGTTCGTATCGAATCGCTCTACGACTCGACTATTCCCGTTGAACGGTGTACCGACGCAGAATAGGTGCTTCTTGTAACTAATTAAGCAATCCAATTGTCGAACCCTAAATAAAACACGTACCGATAATTAGCGAAATAAAAGCCGTCGAACTAAATATGAGCATTTATATCGCAACCATCGTTATTAAACGTGTAATTACGTTGCAACGCGTCAGTTCAAGCTCAGTGCATATATTTCTAATATTACCTGACTCAGCGCTTAAATTTTCGTTTGTTTCAAACGTTTCCTGCTTACCATTTTGTCATAGGCAGTAGAGAAACGGATTTCTTGCTCCCTTTGAACAATCTAAAAGCTTTTTCGGGTTCTCGGTCGTCCCAGAAGTACACTTCATCATCTACCGTGACCGCATGTTTTGCAAATTGGCCCAGTTCTGGTTCGCCGATATAGTTCCATTTTGGCTCGCGTACATTTATTGCCACTGTTTGCAGACTGTGGCCGTCAGCATCGCTCTGGTTGTAAACCTGGCATATAACAACATCCTGAAGTGGGGTAAGACAGTGCTTGAAAAGCTTTTTGTGGAAATTATCACGAAACAAAAGCGGCCGAATTAAGCCAGTTAGTGGTTCAAAAACCTGTAACGACACCGGTGACATTTCGCGATCTTTACAGCCATGAAACAACACAACGATCTCTTTAGGGGCCTGTTTGTAAGCTTCGGCAAGACCGGTTAAAAGCTCGTCTGCTGTGGGTCTATCTTCGCTAACTTGGCGTAAACACGGCTTGATGCAGCTTGAGAGATACGAAGGGATCGCGTCGAGAACCAACGGAACATAGCCGCTTTTTAACTTGTTGCCGAATTCATCGTCGGTAATACTTTTTCCGGCAAGTATTCTCTCCGATCGGTTTTTTTCTGTCTTTTCCAGCCATTTTTCTTCTATGTTGACGACGCACTCAGCCAGATCCAAAATAACGCAACCCAAACTCCAGATATCCATTTTCCTTCCGGTTCTGATCATTTCTCCATGTGACGGCTTAGCGCTATCTTTAAATCTTTTAAACATTTCTGGAGGAATGTAGCGAATAGTTCCATGGATGTTTGTGACGTCTTTTGGGCTTGTAATAGTTTCGCACATTTGAATATGCTCATCTAAATCACCGATAAGCATCCTCTTCTGTGTGACACCGAGTTGTTTGACAAGAATGTTCTTTGGTTTGATGTCTCCATGAATAATTCTGTTTTGATGCAGAAAACTTATTCCTTGGGCAATTTCTGTGGCATACTGAATAGCAGTAGTCGGTTTAAGGCAGGCTCTTGATTGTGTCAACAATGTATCGAGGGTGCCTAAAATTATATTGGATCTATAACATTTTAATGAAAGTATGATGAATTTACTAATGGGGAACGTTGGTCGATACAAAATACACTCGAAGTGCTGTTATTCGCCGCACCTACCTTGACAAAAATCCATCATCAGTTCGTAGTAGGTCGTTCCGAGGTCGGCTTTTTTAACGCAAAACTTGTGATGCGGAAGTAAGGAGCCATGCCGAAAATTCACGACCGAAATTAATCGACTGCGCAGCTTTGGCCAGTTTTCTTTGGTGAACAGGTAACCTTTTGTGTCATCCAAATGCGTAACCTTAATAGCCACAGTGTCTTCACCCATGAAGTCTTCTCGCGACGTAATGGTTGCTTTATACACTTGGCCCATTGCGCCGCCCCCGATACGGTTTTGTATTTTGTAGTCGTATTCGCAGCAGCTTCCGAAATTTTCTTCTTTGATAACGGCTGATTGTTCGCCAACATGTGATGTGCCAATAACTGGTTGTGGAGTAGTTTCTGTCACACTCACCGAAGTCCCTTTGCAGTAATTTAGCAAGAGTAGTAGTTCGCTGGCAGAAATCCTTTGTTGGGGATCTGTGCACAGGCATTGCCTGATCCAGGCCGCCACATCTGGTTCGATAAAGTCTGCGACAAAAGGGACGTAGCCGTCCATTATCAAGCTGGCGTATTCCGTGTTTGTGTTTCTTTGGAGTGGTATTTTCAGTCCCCCTTTTTCAAGGAGTCGTTCCGAGTCAATGCAATATGAACACTCAGTTAGCTCAAGAATGATGCAACCCAGACTCCACATGTCCGTTTTTCTTCCAACCAATGCCCCTTCAAGTTGGGAAAACTTTTTCAGCATTTCCGGTGACATGTAACGAGCTGTTCCGCGCAGTTCGCTGATATCTCCGCTAACGGTAGCGTCCTCTTGCAGTTCCACAAGGTCGTCGCAGTCACTTATCAAAAGCCGTCTGTTATTGCTAATTACAATATTTTCCGGCTTTAAATCGCTATGTATAAAGCCGCAATCGTGCAAAAATTTGAGCCCCTCCGTAATATCGATGGTGAACGTGAGTGCTGTTGCCGAGTGGAGATGATTTTTTGCTTTTGCATGTTCTTTTAAAAATTTCGCTAGATCTCCACCTATGACAAGAAAACGCACAAATGCATTTCAAAAATTAGGTCGGGCGTCGTTAAAATATCTTTTCGTATGCCACTTACCGGCATGGTAGTCCATTAGGAATTCCAAGGTAGTGTTTGAAGCCAGCTTAATAACAGATACCTTATGGTATTCAACTAAACGAGGATGCTTCAACGTTAGCAAGCGATTTATTCTACGCAAAATAGTGTTTCCGAATGCTGTCCCTGATGTCTGCTCCATGTGTATCACTTTCACGGCAACAGCCTGGCTGCCAACAAAATCGCCGGGGTCTATAATTCTTGCTTGGTAAACTATTCCAAAAGTTCCTCGCGCTACATATGCTGCAACATTGTAGGTGTAAGTGCACGATTTCCCGAGCGTGTAATTCTCCTCCATGTCGTGCTGAGTTAAAGAAATCATATACGTTTTAAAAAAATTACGCTATGGACGTTTAAGGCGTAAAGGAATTCTGTGAGATGCGTACCCGGAGTTAGTTGCGAAACTTCGCGAGCGACAAGTAAGGCACACCGGTGTGTTAAACTGAACGGAACGTTCGTCAGAAATAAAGCGCGATAAATTATTCATAGCATCTCTAGTTACTTATCACTTATCTCATGTACTAAGTAAGTATGCTTTAGGAACAGCTGATAAGTCTTCAAACTAGTGTGACCGTAACTGAGGAATCGCCGAGACGCCGACTAATCCTGATTGACTTCAAAGGGCTGTATCATCCGTTATCTTCTCTCATATCAGTTCAAACAAGAGTCTTTTCTATACTGCAGTGGCTGACAGACCTGCGCTGTAAGCCTGTAACTGCCAGAATGTAGTGCGCAATGCACGCGTACAACAACATGAAAACGTGCAATGTTTGAAACTTGTGAAATGGTCGCACTAAGACAGCGCTACCTTGATACCTTGTACTGTGTCCAGGCTGCTACCATGTAACTTGAATAATATTTATACCAAACATAAAAGTCTCGAAGTGGCTGATTTGCCGCAGTGTTTGCGGCTAAACAGCCAGTTGGCTATTTTGACGCACTAGGGTGGGCGAAATACCTTGTTGGCTACTGCGTTAAAACCGCTGCTCGGCAATCTGACTGCACCATGGCCGGCAAAATAGCCAACTGGCTCTTTTGCCGCACCACTGTTATGTAAGGTAACAACGGTATGTATTTGACTCTGCTCAAGTTGATAAACTTCACAACATTGCTACTTGCCTACGTCCCAATTTGCATCACCGTTGGACGACGCGGCTAAACTAAGCGAAGTAACTGCAACACAGAGATAGTAAAACAAGATTAACGTTCTGGCTGTCTTCCTGTGGATGTCTCGCAATACGTTCGTTTTTTTGTGAGTCATTCCTCTGGTTTTTCGAGGAACAAAACATATTTAAAGTTTGAAATTTCACCCTCTTGCAGTACAACTTTAAAATATTGATGAGTTAGTATTTACTAAAAGAAACAGAACCGTTCGGGACCAGATATCAAAACGGTGTGTCCTGACAGTTCTAAAAAGTTGACCGACACTTTTTTAACATATTGTCATTATAGCGTGCTAGTGCTGCAAACAAAACGGTTTTCAGGCCGATATATATTTTTACTAAAATAATCTGGCTGCAGAATGTTGTAAACGATAGGAGAAGTAGCTACGTCCGGCAAATGTGTAAGTAAAATGTACGCAGTAACTCCAACAAGAGGCTTCGAAACCACCAGGGTTTTCGAAATCACCAGAGTTTGCGAACTCTGAAAGATGCTGTCGGTGTATCGATGCATTTACACTGGAGCATTTTGAATCAATCGGTGCATTTTCAGGCAACTCCGGTAAAATACATATATTTCTTCACGCAAAAGTTTTCACCTGCGGCACGTTTCGTACCAAAGAAAAAATTGAATCGTTTTCTCTCTTCCTGTAGGCACAGTAGACATCTGTATACAGGCTGTAGACACCCTGTAGACCTATCGGCAGACTGCAGTCACCTGGTTTGTTATGATGTACACAGCGTGTCTACAATGGTGTCTAGAGGCTGTCTACATATGTCTACCGCTGTGTACAGGGAGCCCTTCTTAGGTTCAGCTCGATGCTCTGCCTTTAGCCGTATACACCGGTAGTCATCCGTAGACAGCCCGTAGACACCACTGTAGACATGGCATAAGTAAACAATGCCGACCTTTCAGATTACTCTGGAAAAGACAGTCAGTGCATTCTCGCATCAACTGGACATTGTGCAGAACAAAGAGATCGTAGTCACAGCGGCAGGATCAGTTGTGCGTGAGCCAAAAGAAAAGACACCGGGTTGACATAAGGACGTTCACATCAAATAACAGCCAAAATGATTGTACAGTATGCTCTACAAATCCTGAAAAAGGAAAAAATTGTATGAATGCTGCAAAGGAAACTGAATAATCGCCACTACGAACTTTTAAAACGGAACAAAAATGCAACTGCATTATTGTAGAAAAGTTTCAAAATTCAAGCATAACAAATCGTACAAGAAAAGAAGTACCTACGAGAAGGGTTTTTTTTACCGGCAGTCACCACTATTTTTATTCACAAAGGTAAAGAGCACCCATCAATCTAAAAGCACCTACAAAATCGTTAACAAATAATTTCCCGAAAACTAATACAGCTGCACAGTGCGCATGTCATAGACTCTGAAATGCAATTAAAGACAAATGAGAATCTTTGTGCTTGTGTGCGCGTTTATCTATAACAGCTGCGATCGGCCTGATCTAGGAAAGGCACTCGTAACTTTAATTTACGAGGGTGCCTAATCAAGTAATGTCGTCCGTATATAAATTGTGAAATGAAAAATATGAAATCATTTTTAAAAAATAGGGCATTCATAACTGTATCAGTGGGCCGATGGCCGAGTCAATGCCCCCTCTCGGTGGCAGTCAGCATGAGTCAGAGCACCCCTAACTTACATAAACTTTAATTACCAATTAAAAACTGGCGCACATTATCGTAACATGGGTTTTGCACTATTTTACATAAAAAATTCCCATAGACGTGGGACGCAACCTATTGACTTTCTGACGCGCCGCTTGTGTTTGGGGATGAGCGTCGCTCTCTATAAACACATAAGCGTAGAGCTTCCCGTCTCCGTTCTGGAAATTTAACGAAGGACAACAGGAGATGGTCGGAACAGGCTACCTTTGGAGAAACCAAAACTTGAGCGCCATTGTAAAGCGTCCAGCTAAAAGCCATCCCCGCTAAAATATATCAGGTGGATAGCTCATCAAACACAGATTATTGGGGCAGCTTCGAAATCCTTTTTACTCATCTGTCTGATTTTTCGCAGTGTGGCGTACCTTGGGGTACCTCTTTTGCTGACTTTTGGTGGTACGCTTTCTCCAGTTTAACTCTCTAAAGCAAAGCCAAATTACTTTAAGGTAGCCATCGGCATAACATCTACACCCACGAAAGATTCTGGTTTTCTTACAGCGATGCATGATGGAAGCTGCAGAAGAGGACAGGGTTCTGATACTGATGTGCGAAGCCTCAATCGTGGAGCACTCCGAAGAACTTTTTTGCTTCTTTACAGCATAGCAACGATATTAGTAACAAAAATAATTTTGTGTCCTGAAACATTACAAATTAGGTATAACAATATGCAAACATTTTGAAAACTTTCTTTGAAAAAATTCAAAAAAAAGGAGACAAGAGGTGATTTACTGGTGTAATTTGGCATTACGACGGACCAAGACCATTGCCTCTAAATATTAGAAAAATTATGCTGATAAGCGCGGTGTAAAGATACTTCCGCAAATAAAATTATTAATTGCACTAGACTTTCGCAGTTTAAAAAAAGTTCCAGATCTAAACGATTCTCTGCAGGGTAATTAGTTAACGAACAAAGACAAACTCGAAGAAAATTCTGATGGTCCATAACTAAAATAATTTCGTAACTTTTTTGCATCAACATTTCCAATCGGGACGCAGATGCGATCGATGTGTAGAGAGTGTATAAATAGTATTTTGAAAATGTTGGATTAATTGTATGAATCTGGGAATAAATAAAAAATATACGACATGACTTGATTAGGTACCCTCGTATAACACAAGAGCAGAGAGAATCTGGCAACCCTGAAGCTGGACAGCAGAGATTGCAGTCAGCGTAAGCTAAAAAGAACCCGTGTCAGAAGTTTCTAGAGCTGATAGTGCCTTGATCTTCCACTTTTGCAAAAGTGCATACGTTAGCAACCTCGGTGGCGAAATTTAACAATGGCAGAAGAAAAATTCAGCTTTTTATTTCGGAAGTATAAATTTGGCCACGCATGTCGCATAAGTAACATGCACACCATTCATTTCTAAAAAAACAATAATTAGATGTCCTTTCAGAACGGTTCCGATGATTGCGATTCACGCCGCTTAAGTGGTTTTCTTTATTCTCATCAAATGACATAATTTTACTAGCTTTTCTGAAATATGAAGTCAGGTTATACAAACAGTTAGTCAGTTAGAGTGTCCCTTTACAGCAGCGGATAATAAACTACAACTGCAGGAAAGAAAAAGCATGGTGCGATTAATATAGAACTACAAACAAACGGACTGTATACGTACATTCGTTGAACGTATACGATAATTGTTCTATATAAATGAAAGAAGCAAATTTGTGTTTTTAGTATATTATCTTTATTCGGCGCAGTAGTGGCCGGCCTAAGACATGAAGTCCAGTTTTCCAACGAAAGCAGCCCAGGCATGTAGACAGTACTTGTTTAGCTTCCTCACATCCAAACTGTCCAAATTGGACAAGGACCAATATCGACGGAAATAGCGCCCAGATGTCCGCGGATCCGGCATTTGGAAAGCATTTAAAAGCGAAACAAGCAACGTAATTTGCTCTACTTTATTACGTACGATTATCATGAATTTTATTACTATCATGCCAGCAACGAGGTTAATAAAAAACGGAGCGCCTACCTGAACTGCCTCAGCTAGCTTCGATTCGACCTGCTTCACCTGCCTGGTAATTAATTCGTTAGTCCAGTACTCCAGCAGCTCCATGTCCAGTGGTTCGCGGCAAACCAGACGTTGTTCAAAAAAATCCCAAATGCGTGGCGCATCGACACTGCGCAGAACGAAGCTGGCATATGGAATACGGAGCTCCAGCGGTGCAGACTCAAAGCGTAACGAATGGTCCTTCCAAATCACACGGTTGCAGCAGATCGCCAGGCCGGAATATAACTCGGCGACGCTATCAAGATATCCCACGAAAGACCGATCATAGCGTTGGACGGATATCGACCGCTGGTAAATAATCAATTGGTCCAGACGGACACCGGTGTCTTTCAGTGCTTCTTTAACGGCGATCATCGCTTTGCCGACGGACAGACTGTGCTCCAGTTCCATCCCCTCGTTAAGGTTTAACGGAGGATCGCCCCTGGAGGTTTGCACAGTTTCCGCTTTTCTATTTATTTCAGGGGGGAGCAAGCAGATCGTTCGCGTGGCGGATGTTATGTTCAGGAAAATGCATGCGTACATTGCGTAATCCGCGCTCCGACAGCTCACCACACGGGCGCCAAAACCGGGCTGCTGGAGCGATATGTGGACATTTTTGGACATGGCGTCCGAAGTGAGAATTTCCTCCCACAGATAACAGGTGCGTCGGCAATGCTGCCGCTCGACTGTGTCCAGCGATTGAAAGGTTTCCGTCAACAATTCCGGCAGCGCTGGGAAACTGCAAAAGTCTGGTCCGTCTGCTAGATTTACCGAAACGTGGGCCCAGGGCGAATCCAGTCTTCTGGTATTACTGCGGAAGCCTACGCTCCTGGTCCTCAGTAAGCTTGCCTGCGTAAAACAACGGCCGGCTCTTTTCATGAGCTTTATTCGGCTTATAACTATGGAAATGGCTAGTGGGCTGTCGTTAATCATTAAACATTTAAGAACAGTCTTCAATTCTCATTATTAAAGAATTCTCTTTACCACAGATAGTCAGTTCTGCAATTCATACAAAGCCCGGCACTGTAGTGACTGTAGTGAGCTACTGCTAGTTTAATGTAGAATTCCAAACTGGATTTTAAGAGTTTGATTTGCAAAACACAATCCACGATTGCTGAAAGACTTTGAGAGACTAAGCAAGAGCTGGGCAAGGCAAGTTTGGCACGTAATTAAAATAAGAATACTTGTATATGTTTATATTAAGACAAATTAGGTTATTATATATATTAAGTTATTATAGCCACGTTCTGATATACTGAAACCACCACAGTACTCAGTACTGTATAATATCTGATGTCTCAGTAAGATTATCAACAGTGATTGAAGGCTGGAAATCTGTTGATTCTGATCTATGCACTTATTTTTACATCCAATTACATAACAGCTTGTTTCACGAATTTTGGGGTATACGGTTGAGGAGCGGCCAGCGCAGTCGAGAATACTGCCGTAAAATACGTTGCAAAAAATAGCATTCACTCAGCAAATGGAGACTTACTGCGTCTCTGTTTGATAAAGGCGGATCAGTGATCCGTTGAAGGTAAAACATTTTGCCACGGATATTTGACAGCAAACGAGAATGCGGCGACGGTGGTTTCCGCGGTAAATCCCCCCAGTTGCTACCGGGAAAAAGGAGTAATTGCCTGGAATGCCAGTCATTAACTGGGGACCTACACGTTCTGATCTGGAAATCACCGGGCTGGACAGTTCGCAACTGGAGCGCTTCGGCCGTCAGGCGCTGCCGAATCTGACTGGAGGGAAGCAGTACGCGGACGCAATGCCCCACTAGCATTGCATCCACCAAGGCGTATTCACCCTCCACAACACTGCACTTCGACTTCGACTTCGACCGGAAACCATTTCCACGGTTGATCGGGATGGGTACGCAGCAGTGCCTCCACGGCGACGTGACGCTTTTCGAGGATTTTATCGTCCCGCGGTTGCATGCAGCCGTAAACCTTTCCGTAATTAACCACTACCGCCCGTTGACCAGGACACCCAAAATCAACCATCAGACGCGACGGACCACCTTCGGTATTTGTTAGGCCAATTACCTGACCGTGCTGCAGCACTCCATCCACTTCGACATCAACCGCATTCCATGCGCACACCGAGCGCGTGGAATTTTCATACAGATACATTTTCCCCTATCCGCTCAAATTGTTAGAGCCCAAACCGTCTCTAATTTTTTGCATTCACAGCGCAATGTGTTAATGAAGACTGAGGTGCTGGAATAAGTGATTCCGCGCCTTTGCATTCAGGTTGAGGAAAACGTGCGAAAGCGTGAAAAACGTTAAGTGCGCTGTTAATGGTGGTATTCGAAACTGAATACGCTGAATATTTTCACCGCGATTATCAGCGGACGTGATTCTTGATGCATAAAAATATGAACCAGTAAACAAAAACTGATCATGCATCACACATTCCTTCACGCCGTCTTACTTCGAGAGCGCTAAACCCGACAGCTTTTCTTGCTTTTGCACTGAAGGACATCATTGTGGCAGCATGTGCTATACCGTCTACATCTACTTGTAAACTTATAATCAATAATTACGTGCGGTTATTTCAATATCGGGCCACCGCTTGCGATTGAATTTATTAATCTGTATTTAATAATTAAATTATAGTTTGCTAAAATGCCAAGGCGCAGTTTCCGTCAGTCAGCTGCCACATTACTTGAGCACATTATATTGCGGAAAAAATCACAGGAAATTTTAAATTATCAGCTGAACGTCGAAAGCAGTAGCAGTGAATCCGATTCATCTGAAGATGAAACCTGTACTGGATTGTTGGATGACCTAACCTCACCAATTATGTTGCGGTTGTATCTTGATCATGTAAAATATGTGGAGCGCCATTCTATCCCAAAATCCCACGCTTTCTATGACGAACTACTTTTTAATTTGGACGATAATCGTTTCCGGCAAGAAATGCGAATGTCCCGTACAACATTTGATCAGATTCTTAACCGGATTTCGAATCACAGAATTTTCACGAACAAATCTAACTATTCCCAAATGCCTGTTCGAAAGCAACTGGCAATTTCTTTATGCCGGTTGGGTTCACCCGGAAATGCTGCATCTGTGGGATGTGTTGCTCGAAAGTTCGGCGTATCAGAAGGAACAGTGGATTTAAGCACAAGACGTGTAATACTGGCTTTAATTTCTATCGAAAAAGATGTAGTGCGGTGGCCGACATCAGCCGAAAAAAAGGAAATTAAACGCCGGATTAAGTCCAGTCACCATTTCCCAAGCTGCATTGGATTTGTGGACGGAACTGGCATCGTCCTGGCTGTCAAGCCGGCACTGAATGGAGAAGATTATTTCAGCAGAAAGAAAAGCTACTCCCTTTCCGCAATGGTAGTATGCGATGACAACAAACGGATTACGTATACCTGTTGTGGTTTTACGGGAGCAACTCATGATAGTCGCGTTTACAAGAATACCGAGCTTTGGCGTAATCCGGGAAAGTACTTTAAAAAGGATGAATATATACTTGCCGACAGCGCTTATGCTGTAAGCACCACAGTTTTGCCACCACATCGGAAAGGCGAGAAAGAGAGAAGTATTGCCAACCGGCGATTTAATAAGCAGCATTCCCGTCTTAGAGTAAAAGTCGAACATTGCATCGGTATGTTAAAAAACCGGTTTCAGTGCTTAAAAGGTTTACGTGTATTAATTGCATGTAAAGCTGATCACGCCCGAGCAGTTATGTGGTTCCGTGCATGTACTGTATTACATAACATTTGTATCGATACAAGAGATCCTTATGATCCAACATGGGGTGAACTACCGAAACGGGCATCTGATGAACCCGGCAACGAAGCGGATGAAATCGTCCCTCTTGCGGAAGAAGGATCACAAAAGCGGGAACGAATGAAAAATGCTGTACTAACAAGCATGGCTGAGTAATTTTTAATGTGGCAAATCAATATGTGTATGAAGAAATAAAAACACCGCTGTCATTTTCGTTACGCTGTTAAGTACTGTAATATGTACCATTTTAACTGTAACTGTACGAGTATAAAAGCAGCGCAGATAAACAAAAATAAGAACTAATTATACAAGTACATAGCACAACGATTATAAAAAAACTGGTGCACAATAAGTCCACTCGTGTGCCGGAAATACAGACCTGCCACCTTGCGTTAAAACAGCATTTTATTCCATTCCTAATTCTCGCATCCTTATGCGAAGCACCATCCGGCGCAGCTCTTGCTCCGCTTCCTTAATTTTTCTGTCCTTGTCTTCTCCCTCCAACTGTTTCCGCTGTAGATCTATCCTATCTTGCTCCAGTTTAGCTTTCTGTTCAATGCGCATACGGGAAAGCTCCATTTGCTTCTCTATCTGGCTGGCATGAGTCTTGTCCAGTTGCAGTAAAGTCTCACTGAATGATAGCGGCGCCTTGGAAGCCGACTTGGTTTTGGCTTTCGATGTCTTCCCATTGATTTCTTTAGTATAGCGGCTTGGTCTATCAGTGTCAGAATCAGAATCCATAACGTCGCCGTCCAACCGCATGTCGTTGTAGCTCTTGAACTCTTCGTCGCCCTGTTGCGCCTCAGCAGCCACGCGCGGGTCAGTTGATTTTGAAGATTGTGATGCCGCAGACTCATCTGAGTTATCGTCACCCGGTGATCCAGAGTCGCCAAGCAACATTCGTTCATCGTCCAGCGGCTCAACATCTGTTTGGCTTAGATAGGGTGGTTCAATGGCCGGGCGGCAGCCAAAAACAGGATCCAGTTCATAGAAGTACTTGAACATTTTCTTCACCGCAACTAGAAGTCAAGATAACAGCTGACGCAAAGGCAACATGTATAAGTCTATAATAATGTCACACAATACTACTTGTTACAAAACGTTATGTTCCAAAAAATGAAAAAAAATATTTTTTAAAAAAATTGGGTTTTTGCTCATTTCCTATTTCCTCAGTAAAAGAAAACGATTTGCCATTGCAGATTTTAAAATCTGAAACTTCACATTTTAAAGTTTTTAAAATGGTCTTAGACCATTAAGAAACCTTTTAATATATGTAAAGAACTTTTTCTACAGTAAAATCAAGACTTTTAAAATTTTAAATTTTTTTAAAATTTGTTTTTTGTGAGTTTTTTCAGTTGAGTTGCAAATGCCAGCTTCCAGAAATCATTAAAGGCATGACACATACTGTTTTATATATAAGTACCTTCGATCGTCTGCTGTTTCAATCTGCCTTCGCGATCGAGGTTTGCATTAACAAGTCCCGCTCCGGTATTGTTCACCCAGTCGCTTGCTTTCTTGTACTTGTCTTCCCAGGTTCCGATTTTGTCCTTCACTTGCTTAGCCGTTCTTCGTTCAGTGTTGCATTCCTTTGCCACGTGCTCCCCAATGACTGCAGCAACACGGATTTTCTTCTCTCCTCCCTCTTTCTTTTTCCCAGATGATTTCCATCGGTCGTAGTTTGCCTTCTCGCTAAGCCAGTCAGCTAAGGTTCTGTCTTCGCTCTCACTCCATGTATTATAGCCGCGTGGGCTAGTATCCCGAGTGGCTCGCTTGCGTGGCTTTGTGGTAGTAACAACAGGAGATGGAATGTTGGACACAGATGGAGAAGGAACAATAGAGATACTGGGCAATGGAGCGATGGTAACTGGCTTTCCTCTGTCTGATTTCAGCTTCTTTTTAGAAGGCGCCGCAGTCGATGACATGATTAACCGAGTGTTTTGCAAATTAATTATTAATTATAATCCCGTAATTAAATATCCATACGATAATACGATTACGGAAAGGTGGACATATATATATGCATATACTACGCCGCAAAGAACCGATGTAAGTTGAGAAGAACTTGTTGAATTTATTCGGGGTTCTGTCAGATAAAGGAAATAAGCGCCTTTCGCGCCTAGAAAAGCTACTCGCGAGTAGCTTTTTCATTTTGACTTTTCGCGCGTTTTGAGGGCGTAACGCTTATGGCGTGATTGTGTGTCATCGATGAAATGATCCAGTTATGAATCGATTCCTTATCTCTGCAAATTTGTCACGTTTCGCGCTGTTGCACTTTCGCGGCTAATCTATGTCGCTTATTCAGTTTCGAATCGTCTTAATGTAAACATGCAACAGCTATTCTAGCAGACGAATGTTGCTTATCAGCCAAAGCGGCTGTTATTGCAGCACCTGTACGGCTGTACGTAAACAGTCTATAAATATTAAGATCTCTTCAACTCGGGACTGTAATAGCAGCGAACTGCTTGCAGGCGTGTGTCAGGTAGTGTGTGCATACCGGTGTTAAGGCAGTAGGCACTACAGCCGGCAGCGCGTTCTACTAACGATAAATATACGAGTATAAAAGTTTTATGATACGTATCTGTAGTATCATTGTTTATACATACATAGTATGCTTGTTTATTACTTAATACCATGACACTGTATAAACAAGCGCTCGTACCCTTTTTATGGCCAAAACAACACCCAGTAAAGAATTTAGCCGTGCAAAAAGATACGCGTTAGCTACAGAACCACCCACTACAGTCTGTTCTTGTTGAGGTTCTTCTTGTTGTGAGAACAGAGACGAGATTGTTATTTTTGTGACATCGACTAGGGAGATGGCCGTGATCGCGCATATTGGTACATGTAACCGGCATGAAGGTGGGTGGTGAATGGTGATGATGTATCTGTAACTCGCATTACACCTTCCTGTTGAAGCCAAGCAGAAGTGCTTTCGCTCTCGCGCATTTGCAAACAGTAATTTCTTTCGCATTGTTGTACATACGTCATTTTTGCAGTCCAGTAGTTTGTGTGCACTGGATTCTCCTGTGCAAGTGGTAAAATCATTATCGACAAAACTGATAAAAAAACAGTAAGGGGCACATGCAATTTGTCATTTCTTTACTTGGTTTAATGCGTTCTATGGCAATTAAATCGTTACACTAAGGCACGATAACAGTTTCGACAAAGTACTGAAGCGCTGGCTTCTTCCACAAGTACTGAACCGCTGCGTACATTGGTATTATAACACTACCAGTACCAAGCTTTAAGTACGTGTTGTAATGATGTTCTCAACGCGCTTCCAGCTGGTGCTTCGTAGTTCGTACTATGTAGCTTAATCCCGCATACTATTATACTGTATTAGAAGTAGAGCACTGTTATTATGCCCACAAAACATACAAACGTACGCTAATAAACAGTTAACAGCAGGATCAAACGCCG